CAATGTATACAGTTTTCAAAAACACCCTTAACAAACGACTCCAAACCGCCCTACGGGGATAAATTACATATAGCTTTTCATATATACTCTTGATGATTCTAAATCGCCTTGAAAAGATCAATTATATACATTTTCTCATTACATCCCATTCCGAATCGTTCAAGCTAACCTGAGCCAGCTTCACGAGCTCTTCGTCAATCTTCGGTTTGTCGTACGAATTCGTCAGATTCACATATATGCTAGCCAAAGCATAAACGCACAACGAACCGGCACTCTACAAAATGATACCACAGCAGTAACAGAAATTCAACACATTTAGTCTTATTACGGCATAATTAGGATTTGTAGAAACACACGGAAAAACAAATGCTTCAAAATTCCAGCAAATATTTCTGAGAATTATAAAAAATTTCGAAAAAGCTAGTCGTTCAATGAAATCATGTAGCTGTTGCACGATCAAAAGACTCAATTCATATTCGGTATCTACAAAATCGACTATGCGACCAACACGCACAACGCCTTCTCCTGCCTGTAACGTTTGTTATTGAGAAGTGCAGGTTTATCATCTAGTGGACAAGAACAGATGCATCGGAAGGAATGGCACAGCAATAATTTTTATTAGAAAAACAAAGCAGGAAAATGCAGAGAACGAAAGTTGGAATAAATAGCAGGTAAACGATTGTCGGACGAAACGGCAATGGATTTCCGAAAAAACCAAATTTTTATACTTTTTTTTCATGTCTCCGACTGGCAATTTGTGACTGGTACATTCAGACGCTCAATTATGCGGTGAATATAGATAATCATAATCTTCATTTTTTCACCTTCTTTTTCTTTTTTTTTGGAGTTGGGGAGGGGGAAAGAAAGGGAGGGGATAAAGCTCAGCCGTTGCATCGATGGTGTGAAGGAACAGCAAGCTATGTTAAGGCATCAATGCAAATTCTTAAAGTGGAATCAAGTTGGCACTGCAATGTTTGTTCATCTCAAGTACTGAAATTTATAAACAGGCAATGTTGATTTACCTTGGCAAGGCAAAGCATTGCCTGCAGGAGCAGTGGATCTTCGACAATCCATTCTTTCACATCGGCGTCCAGCGTCAAATATGACAATCCTTCGAGTGCAAATCTAAAAAAAAGAAAATGATTTTTTTCTGTTAATCGTCGCGTTTGGCTTGGAAAGACTGCTAAATTTTAGTAAGAAAAAACTGTCAAATTTTTTTAGCTTACTGGTGATGAAAACTCGGACTAAGCGAAAAACGCGCTGTTTTACAACTAAAGAACTTCTGAGAATACAAAACTTTGCCTGAAGAGTACTTTAGTAAAGCCTACAGACCTGTAGCGAAAGCCAAAAACCATGCACTCAGCGATTTTCGATAAGCTATGAAATATTCCTAAATTAAACGCAAAAAAACTACTGCAAATTTAAAATGTAGAAAATAACAGTGAAGAGCGCCACCTCTAAAAATAAAAATTATTGGAGAAATAAGGCGCCCAAGCCCAAACTCTTTTGTGTCTGTACGTTGAAACATAGGTGCATGTGAAAGCTGAAACGGATTTGCTGGGTCGCACATGGGCAATAAACGTCCCTTAAAATTTCAGTTTTCCAGCTTTTCTGGTTGTTGGTTCCTGCACCACAGTTACAAACTAATAGGCAAAAAACACGGAAAAACTGAAAGTTTCGCTAGTGGTAACATCGACGGAAGAGACCGACCTCCTTACATCGCTGGTGTATCGGTTCACGTCCAGCAAAAATTTCTTGCACGTTTTCGCAAGTTTCAATGTGCTTCCTTCCTGCATCGTTTGTTTCGCTGCATCGTCGCCACCAGCAGAAGCGCATTTGCACAGGCCCATCAGCGCCCGGACTTTTACTGTATCATCACTTGAATTGTATAATTTTCGCAAAACAGGAACGCCAAACTGAAAAAAGCGTGGAAAAAAAATGCGCAGGAAATACGGAAATAGACGGATGTGGAAAATCTCAAGTAACAAAAACGAGTAAAAACCAGGTTAGACGTGCAAATTTTTCTTGTATGCTACAATCCGGCCATTTCAAAAGGGGTTGTCGGAATTAAAAGTTAAACTGAATTGAAACGTAGTGAGTAATTCTAAAAAAGTAAAAATAATGCTACTAAAAAAGCGGAGAGAAAGGTGAACGGCAACTACACTGGTATGCTTATCAAATACCATGTTGAATGAATCCGAAAATTTCGCAAAATCAAGAATTGGGATTTGTATGCTGCCCACTGAAGGATTATGCGCAAATCACAAAACCAGCATGTTTAATTTTCATAGAAAGAGAGCAAGTGTAACACTAGCAGAAGAAAGCACTGAAAAATTCATGGCGATGAAGGAATTTCAAATATCCCAAGTATTTTCTGCAAAAAAAAAGATCTCCGAAAACATGAAAATTGAAAATTACTGCG